AATGTATGAAAAAATTAATTTGACAGAGTATTCCATTACCGTGACAAACTGTCTTTTCTCCCTATTCCATGTCGCGAAAACAAAACAGATCATAAAACTTACGCCTAGATATAAGGTAAATGCATAAACAGAAGCCAAAAATTTACTGACATAGGTGTTACGAACCTTCTGTCAATTCTCAGAATTTCTACGTAGTCGCATCGTTCCTTGCTTCTAAAGCCTGAGAGACCGTTTACACATGTCACGGCTGCATCGCATTTTAGCACATGCAGTGCACAGACTGGATGTACTCACTGCTACCTACAGCGACAAGAGACGATGGGCTGGTCATATGGCTCGTTTGAAGGACAGTGGGTAGACATCCCGAGTTACCTACTGGATCCTCCTTGGCAACAGATGTCCACAAACAAGCTGATACGACCCAGTGGCGCAGCTGCCTGGTCAACGGTGGATGCAAAGGGTGCAACACCAAGAAGTGCAGCGGAACGTGAACTTAACGTCTGTATCGCGGCCGTTGACAAAAACAAGTCGGATAAAAGGATAGGATGAAATATATTGACGCAAAAGCGTTATCCTTGTGCAGGGACAGGGCGAAGAATAGCCTGTTCAGACACTCAGCGTCATGCTACTTTACGCAGGCATTTATATAAATAAAATTAGATCAGGATATTATTGGTATCAATAGCATCCATGCGCTGCAGGTGCTAAAATACTACTAGACCATGGCTTGCTCAAGCGGTTCCCTAGACTCATAGAAGCAAAAGGTCGGTGCAACTGTGCCGTGTAAATACGGAAAAGATCGCTATTCTCACCGGCGGCATCAAAACCAACAGTTTTCTAGTAAACCCATATAAGCGGGGTTTATTTTTATGCACAAGTATATATGTATGTATTTTATGCTGTATTGCTCAGCTGACTGAAGTACGTTTATAACTAATAGTATGGCATGCGCAAATTTGAGCTTGTTGAAAACACGTTTCTACCTCTCAAAGCAACCGTCCAAAAGCTTGAAGTCTTCGGCCACACGCTTCGTGGACAACGTCCTGAGCAACAGGCAGTTTAACAGCACACTGGTATCACAGTGA